CTGATGGAATCCCTGAGACTATGGCCCCTCACTGCCCTTTAGGTCTGGAATTGAACCCACTCCTGTGGCCTCCAGCCAAAACAAAAGACAGGCTTATGAGAAGAACATTTACATTAGGGAGATATACTCCTTGAAGAAAACAATCATGAGAGAATAGAATAGAAGGGCTGTGTATGTACAGGAAGACAGCTCAGGGGACAGGAGTGCATGGAGGGAAGGACACAGGGAAGAGGTAATTATGGGGAGAAAGTGGGAGGGGAACTGTTGCATTGTAGTGAACTGTAGTTAATGCCATGAGACAAAGTGTATGCGAGTTGCTGCATGGAAAGTGAATTTGCTCTGTAAACTTTCACCCAAATCATAATATTAATAATAAAAACTTTAAAATCATGAAAAGACCAGGTTTACTGGTCTTGACAGAGCCTTGTGAAACCCCCAGGACTATGGTCCCTAGTTACCCTTGAGGCCTGGAATTGAACTCCTGTGGCTTCCAGCCAAACAACAGACAGGCACATAGGGTAAACATTTACACCAGGTAGATACACTCCTTAGAACAATCAATCATGGGAGAACAGAAGGGCAGTATTTGCACAGGGGGATATTTCAGGGGGCAGGAATGCATAGGAAAGAAAGGCATAGGAAGAAGAAACTACAGGGAGGAAGTAGGAAAAGAGCTGCTACATTGTGGGGATTATAGTCATTGTCATGAAACAAAATCTGTAAATTTCTGTATGGAAAATGAATTAGCTCTGTAAATTTTCACCCAAATCACAATAAAAATTTAAAAAGAAAGAAAAGAAGCATTCATTGAACATGTCTGCAGATACAGACACAAATAAGATATGGTACCTACCATCAAGGTATTCACATTTGAGTAGGGGAGGTAAGAGTAACTCAGAACTAACTACAATAAAAAGCTGAACAAGGTGTTACTTTGGGATAAGGAATTCTGGTGGTGCAATGGTCAAGCACTCAGCTGCTAACAGAAAGGTTAGTGGTTCAAAACCACACACTGGCTCAATGGGAGAAAGACCTGGTGATCTGTGTCCATAAAGATTACAGCCAAGAAAACCCTGTGGGTCAGTTCTACTCTGTCACATTGGATCACTATGAGTCAAAAATCGACTCCACAGTATCTAATAACAACAAAATCCTAGAACACAGAGGGAAGGAATTAATTCCAGACACAGGGTCAATAACAACCTGTTAACAATGATTGAGGAGCTCTGGTAGCATAGTGCCTAAGGCACTTGACTGCTAACCAGAAGGCTGGTGGTTCAAACCCACCAGCCACTCCTCAGAAGGAAGGTTGGGCAATCTACTTCCGTAGTGATATCACATCAGAAACCCAAGGAGGGGTCACTATGAGTTGGGTTCAACTCCAAGGCACATAACAACAACAATGATTGAGTGCCTACTAGGTACCAACTACTACACTAGGCATTTTACATATGCTATCCCATTTAATCCCAATAACTACCCTGTGAAATGTGTTCTATTATTTACACTCTACCAATGAGGAAACAGAGAGGGAAAGTACCTTGCCCATGGCCACATTACTAATTTATAAATATTAGAGATGATGTTTAGATCTTACTGGCCAGCACCAAAACTTGTTATTTTCACTAGATTAAATCTCCAAGAGTAAATAAATTCTTCCTGGTAGAAGGGGAATCTGAACTGTTTGGAATTCAATAGTTGAAGATGGGAGGGGAGAAGAATCTAAGCAGAGGGTACTATGAGAAGGAAGGTGTGGAGGTAACACATATCAAGTCACAGATCAGCTAAAGTAGTGGGAAGAAGTCTGGCTTCCAGCACAAAGGAAGAGGGATATGTCTGGTGCGTTAGGAGACTGAGTGTCAGGAGACTTGGGTTCTAGCCCTGGCTTGGCCACTGACTGTATAACCCTCAGCAGTTACTACACCCTCTCTGAGCCTCAGTTTCCCCATCAGTAAAATGAGGGGATTGGAACAGATATTCTCAAAAGGCCCACTCTGGCTCAAATGCTTGATGATACTCACAACAGGCCATGCAGGTTAAGACTTGGTGAGAGACCCCTGCTCTGCCAGTAATCAGCTGAGTGACCTCAGGCAACTTAACTAACTCCTCTGAGTTTCCGGTTCTTCATCTGTAATATGGGGACAATAGCTATGCCTGCTTCACAGGGCTGTGGGGAAAGTTAAAGGAAATGAAGAACTTAAAGGACTCTGAATAGTTGTTGGCAAACTGTAAATGTTCAGGAGGCAGCTTCGTTGCCATCATCATCACCACCGTTATTTTTTTTCTTTAAGGAATCCGGAAAGCAAATGTAGTGGTCACAGTCCAGAAGGCATTGCTTTTAGTTTAAAGAGAGAAGAAATAATCTTCAAAAAGGAGAACAGGTTTCAACACTGAGGGCCAGCCCTACCTTCTCTTCTGAAGAAACAGTTAGCTTGTCACTGGATATCAAGCTGCACACTTGGTCCAGGCTCAGGCTAAGAAATTCTTCCCCCAGCATCACCTCTGGAAAGTGCTGCTCTGTTCCAAAAAAGCAGAAGTTAAGAAAACAAAGTTATAACACACTCCTGCTCTTCCATGAACCACTGCCATGACAATCTGTGGGATTCAGAGTGGGATCCTGGTAGAGACAGAGACAGATGGTGTGCGAGCATGCATCCTGGCTGAAGGGAGAAAAGCAGTGAAGGCATCGCCCTTCTGTGATCCTCCGTCTTGAACATCAACACAGATGAAAATGGGGCACAGAGAACCAAGGCTATATTTTCTCTATGCTCCATGAGATTAATAATGGCATTGCAGAAAAGCCTCACTGGGACCTGCCTACTTAATTGAACTCATTTCCCCTCAGGCATGAGCTGATAGCGCTGTGGATGGTGCCCCCTGCAGCACAGCCAAGGAGAAGTGGGTCAGAACTGCTGTGTGGCCGGAAGTCTCTGGGGAAGACGCTGGGTAGGAAGTCAACATTAGAAGGATGGAAGACAGAATTGTCCTTTCTTGTCCAAAGTCAAGCCTAATATAGCAAGTCTCTTGTTCACAAGGTGGGCCAACCAAGCATCAGCCCAGGTATCCCACCACTGCTGGGAACACAGCAGCCAGGCCTGAGGAGGCTACAAGATGGTGAATTTGGGGAAAGCTAAAACAAGACTAGAGTCCCTGCATGGTACAAATACTTAATGAGCTCAGCTGCTAACCAAAAGGTTAAAAATTCAAGTACTCCAGAGGTGCTTGGGAAGAAAGCCCTGGCAGTCCACTTCTGAAAACTCAGCCATCGAAAACCTTACGAAGCACAGTTCTGCCGCATGGGATCACCATGAGTCACAATTGACTCAATGGCAATTGTTTTTTTAGAATAAGAGTAAACCCACCTCAGGCGACTGCTGAACACAGGTCAGAGGTTCACACAATTTCTACCCTAATACTTGCTTGGATCACAACTGTGAAAGGTCAGTAAAAGTACATCCACCTTGAGAAAGAAGGGGCCTGGATTCAAATCCTGACTTTGCCATTTCCAAGCCATGTTCTTGAGCCAATTGCATCACGTCCCAGCACTTCACTATCTCCTTCTATAAAATAGGAGCAATACCACCAACCTTGTCTCTCTCCCACGCTCTGATGAGAAAGGATCTTTGGAAGTGTTCTGCAAGCTATTCCAAGGCTGACAATTCATGAGGCAGCATGTTCTGGAGATCACGGGACCTTCTTCATCTGCCCCAGGCCTTGCTCCTGTCTCAGTTTTCTCACAGCCCTGCCTTATCATCCACGGAACATCTGGGTCCTTTACCCTCCAGGTTGTAGATCTCTCCACTTTCTTCTTTCAAGACCCCTCCCTGGCCTGGTAGTCTTTTGACAATGCTAAGGGACCATATCTTCCACTTCCCACGGAGGGTTACCCATCATTGGTCTGGTGGCCTCTCAAGTGAGACCCAGGGCGCTTCCAGCCCTGGGAGATTGCTGAAACACCCACTCTGCTACAATTGCATGATAAAAAGGAAGATCAGAACATAGTAAGCCCTTCACTCCCACTCATCAACTTCTTAAAAACCAAACAAACAAAATTAAGAACTTAAGATTTAAATCATTTCTTATAAAAATAATTTTTAACTTTTTATTTTGAAATAATCTCAGATTTAAAGGGAAGTTGCAAAGATAGCGTAAACAATTCCCATATATCTTTCCTTCATCAAGTTTCCCAGATGTTAATGGTTTACTCTCAAAGATCATGTTATAAACCATCTTTCACTGGACAAAAACGCTCCTCACTTGTTCTCCACCAACCTAAGGATGTCATTGTGGTCACAATTAAAGTTTGCCCATCAACCCTCACTTACTTTAACAGAGACTGAGCCAACTATACCAGAAAATTTGTACATAAAAAGACAAATGTAAACATTAGATCTTAGTTGAAAGGAAGTAATTATCTTGAAGTCAGCAGAATAAAAACGGGTCTTTGCTCCCATATATGTCAACAGGGGGAAAAAAAAAACCTGTGCCTAAGGCTAGAGGGATTTAAGTTGAGCATTCAGAAGAACTTCCTAACTAAGGAAATATTTTAGGTAGTAGTAGGATCTCTGGTAGCATAGTGCCTAAGGCACTTGACTGCTCACCAGAAGGCTGGCGGTTCAAACCCACCAGCCAC